GGGTTTAATATTTTTCCTAGAACTTTTTTTTTTTTTTTTTTTTTTTTTTTTTTTTTTTTTTTTTTTTTTTTAAAAAAAAAAAAAAAAAAAAAAAAAAAGAAACAACCCTTTGGTCAAAGAGCACTAAAAATCTAATTTTTCAAAAGCCACAAAATGTTTCAGGACTGTTACTGACAGACAGAAATACTCCATTTCAGTTTATTTTCACAGGTGATTCGGAAGGTCTATGGCTCATATTAAACTATATCCTTCCGTTATGCATTTATTACAACCAATAAGTTAGGTGTGTTTATAACCTGATAGACACCTGTGAAAAAACAGAAATTAGTTTCTGTTGGTTTAGCTGTAATTTTTATGAGATGTCAAATTGTATTTGGAAAGTATCAACTGAATCAATCCCTGTTGGTAGTAATTGCAGCAGCAGATTATGCCTTGCCTGTTTGATCTTTGACATGCATTAGTTTCTGTTTAATTTTCTAATTTAAGGAAAGACTGTAATCTGCCCTTTACCATACTTACGGAAGTCAGGTTTCCTAAGGCATCTCTTTTTTTCCCCTGTTTAAGTCTTTCTACTTCATCAAACTCTGGGAGCACAAAAAGGTTAATCACTACTATTAACCAGGAGTAATACGGATGAAAACAGATGAGGAATTGGAAAAATTTTGGCAACACCCCATGCAGGCTGGAAAAAGAGAAGTGAAACTGATACAGATATAGGCCAAAATTAGTTTGTTAGAAATCACCAATTCAGCAAAACTGAATCTTGCTGTAAAAGTATATTCGTCAAAAAATATTTTGCACTTACATGCAATGTCTATTGATCTAAGTTTTTGTTGATTACTTTCTTTAGCTTTTACTTCTGCTCATTCTTTTAATGAAAAAACATTGAAAGAGATAGAGAGAGGTTGTGGAGGCTTCATGCTTTCATGAAAAGGAATTCTCATCCTGGCAGGAAGCCACGCAGGGTCTGTCAGGGCTCCATGAGCACAGGTGAGCTGTTGTGGCCCAGTCCTGAAGCCATTCCATCCATCAGCTCTTACCTAGGAAGATGGCCAGATTCAGAAAAAATCTTCTATGATTTGTTATGTTTCTTCTTTTTTTTCTCCAAATATGAGCATAGGGTCAATAAGGAAATTAAAGCAGCAGATTAAAGAACTGAATAAATTAAGAAAAATACATTAAAATGTATGTATTTCTTTTAAGTAGCAGTATACCTGTGGTTACCATATCAATACCAAAAGCTATTCTTGAAACTCTAAAGGACGTATGTGTCTTTTTAAGCAGAAACTATTTGAGACAAAGTTCTATTGGATGGGGTTAAAAGAATCATCATTTCTTTAGGAAAATGTGATAAATAAGTGACAGCATGAGACAATAGAAAAGTCATAGAATAGAATCATAGAATGGTTAGAGTTGGAAGGGGTCTTAAAAATTATCAAGTTCCAAGCCCCCTGCCCTGGGCAGGGACACCTCCCACTAGACCAGGTTGCTCAAAGCCCCATCCAGCCTGGCCTTGAACATCTCCAGGGATGGGCCATCCACAATTTCTGGACTTAATTAAAACTACCTGAATTAATATTCAGTTATTAATTCCCAGACCTTAACAATTGAGATTGGTCCTCTA